ACCCAGCGGAGGGTACAGAACCGATCCGGATCCAGCGCTGCCGCCCTGGCAGCGCGGTCAGGGCTCACGAGAGGAAGTTTTGGTTGGCTTTGTGAGGTTTTGCGTGATCCCTGACCTGACAGAAAGCCTGCTGGTGTGAGTTCATCCATCCGCGGGCTGCGTTGGAGCGAGTGAAGCAGGTTGGTGCCACGGTGGTGGCACGTTTTGGATCTGGTGCCAGCGGGGATGCACGCTGTGCCTGGTGGGGTGGCCCAGGGCAGCCGTGCTGGGACTTGATGTGCCTGTGTCTCGCAGCGTCTTCTCTCCTCTGCTCAGGAGAGGTGGGACTGCAGCAGAGCTTGGAGCGTAACAGGTCTCCTGGCCCCCAGCCCAGGGGCTTGGGAGAGGGAAGGATTCTGGAGCAGGGCCGTGGGTTTGTCTAGACAGCCCCATGGGGACAGCAGAGCCCTTTCCCTCCTCCTCCCAGTGCCTGTCTCTGGTTTCTGCTCTGCTGCAGGAAACCCACAGCTTCCCAGGCGAGGCAGAAACTGGGTTTGGACTCCTCCATGTTTCTGTCCCAGGCCTGGCTCAGCTAAGCCTCCCCTTTGCGAGGGAGATGCTGGAGACGTGGTTGTGGGATGGGGGGTTATGCCGAGCTGGACTGGGGATCTCCCCCAAGGGCCGCCGTGGTGGCTGGGAGCCGGCACATGCCTGTGTGAGGTCTGCCTGGGGGTACGTTGCTGACCCCCTCACTACTGCCTGGGAAGCGATGTCTGGAGAAACAAATGGGAACATTCCGGGTAGCCTGTGTCGGGGTCCAAACCTAAGGGTACTGGCTGGCCAGCCTTATCCCAGCCCTGCAGGCGTCACGCTGAGCCCGTGCCCTGCTGGGCTGGGAGGAGGGAGATCACCCAGGGTTTAGCCTTCAGTAGAGAAGTTTGCAAATTTTAATTAACGAGTGAGTCTTGCCCTGTGGGAGCAGTGGGGAAACTGAGGCACGAGCGTGGCAAGTACGGGCAGCTGCTCGGTGCTGCCGGCTCCTCGCAGCGGGTGAGCAGGCAGCTCCCTGCACCCCTTCCCTGTCCCCCCTCTTCTCCTCCCCTCTCCTTAATAAAGCCCGCTCTCTTCCCTATGATGGCTCGGTGTTATCAGAGTGCTGGTGGAAAGTAATTAAATGAACAGTTGTAACAGAGCTCGAAGGGCTTGGAGAACGAGGGGATTTTAATCAAATCTGGAGGAGCAATTAATAAAGGACCAGTAACCCTTTCGGAGCAGGGCTGCGGCAGCCACGGGGTGCCTCTGGGGTGGAGGTGTTGCCTGCAAATGTGCTGCTTGGGCTTGGGAGAGGAGCGGGCGATGGCGGGGGGCTCAGCCAGCTCCCTCCTGTCTAACGGGCCAGGGTGAGCCTGTGCTGGGTCCGTCTCTGCGGGGTCGAGGTGTGGGCATGGAGGGAAACACGCGGCC